CTCGCTCTCTCTCTCTCTCTCTCTCTCTCTCTCTCTCAATTGCCTTGTCTTCTCGTTTCTTGTGACATGATGAGTGTTGGGGTTGTGACATATTACCATGTTATGTCCATTTTACAAATGGGTTTTATATTTTCATTTGTCTGTGCTCCTCTGGTGATATTTCGATTTCCAAACTATACTCATAAGCAGCTGCAAAGAGATATAATGGTGAAAGGTCCATTTTTTTCTTTGAATGGAATATAAAGCTGCAGAAAAAGAAGCTTTTTTTTGGTGTTTCAGATTCAGAACCGGGTCCTCTGTAAATTCCTCAACTCCAAAAGGGTTGATGTACAAGTCATTGTGGGCTTGAATTTTTTTTTTTAAAAAAAAAGCTGTTCTGGTCAATATATATATATATATATCGAATCATACGAACTTTTCTCACACTTTTCTACTCGGACAGTGAGTTACAGTTGTGCCTATTTCTGATTACACGCCATACGAAAATGCTCTGATTCTGAAATGCTGATTCGGACAGCGAAAAGTCTGGAACTCTTTTTGTTGTAGGAACCATTCCCCACACAGATCATTGCCCCCCTGAAACATGGCTGTCTCTCACGTTCTCCTGCACCGCCTATACAGCAAGGTGAGATATGAATCTCTCGATCAAACAAGTACAAAACCTCGGACTGCACGAACAAGACTTGAATCATTTGTTTGTTCGCTTTTTTACCTGGAGGAGTTCAGTCATCTTGCCTCTTCTGTAGCCAGGCACGGGTTTGGGAATATGAACGGGATGGACCGGGTGTATCGCTTGAAGCGGCTCGATGGACAGCGCCTGTTCATCGGAATCAGCCTCAACCGAGGCCATTTTCCCTTGGACTTGAACTCTATTCATCATGACTTCCGTCAGCAGCGTTTCAAACGGCTTTCCATGACCAGCTCCACTCTGCATAATGAGTTCGGACCCGATATTGACATCTGCTGGTGGAGCCTGGTTGATCGGTACCGCTGCTTGAGGCGGTGCCCTTGAAGGGTCAGGGACTAGCCCACCGTTCTGCAAGTGTGCAGGTTGAGTAGACTGGCTCAAGATGGGAACCAATGCTCGGCTCTTAACCCCAAAAAGATCAGGTTCCTCACGGAACCTGGATTTCCGACTATGCGGGATGCTGTTTCTCGGGATCATTGGAACATTAGGGGCAACGTCATTCTCTTCTGAAAGGGGAACACATCGCCCGGGCTTGAATACCACACCTCTGAGCACATTGCTCGAATTCCCGACCTTAACAGAGAGCAAGTACCCGGCTTCAAATCCAGCCTCGATCACACCACTCACTGGTTGCCCCACCATCACATCATCCCTCTGACGGGGATGATTCCTGCTTCTCCTTTCATGCCCGGAACTGGAGCCGAGACCTTGCTCACCTGAATCTATCCCCAGTTGTTTACGAGGACGACCCCTCTTCCGTTTCACCATGAAATCCGCTGACGAATACTGGTTGATATTCTCTCGGTTATCCTTCTCCATTTCAGCTCTCCTCTTGATAGTATATTCTTGTATTCTGGCTTGCTGTCATAAACACCCAATGCAATGTATAACAGATCTGTACAAGAAGAATGAACACCGGAAATCATAGCGCTTAATATGAAATCATTTCACAGGGCAACAAATCAAATGTCAAAACCCCGAACCAAAAGACGCAATGAATATTCAATCAAACACAGTGAATCCAAAGTATGTATCCACTAACCCTAAGAACATTACCTAACATATAAAATTGATTTCACTGACCCACCATGGATGGACAGAGAACAGATTCAATTGTCTTAAACCATGGACACAGTCCTCAAAACCAGCAAACAAACGATTCCTCGTATAATGTTGTCGGCCCCATAGCACAGTGGCTGCATATCTAACTCTCTGACAAGACATGCATCCATGTCTGCCCAAACTCGGGACTCAAAAGACATGGATTATCTCAAAATCGAACAGAGATAATCAAAGAAGAAACGAGCACATGATTTTCTCAGAAAACCCTAGAACACAGAAAATCTCGGGATTCAAATATTAAGACCCAGCATCGAAGAATACCCCAAAATTTCGTCGGTATCGAACCTCAAAATTCGACTGAAGCAATAATCTTCGATTCGTTCTAATACCCACGAACTAAGATCAAAGATAGTTTTGACCCACGAAACTGTCGTAAAAAAGTATCCGACTTGAGTCTCTGGGCCACGAGAAAACACAACACTGAAGACAAAAAGAGACCTGCAAAATCTCTTACCCTCTTCCTCAGCTGTCTTCCTGTGGCATTACACAAGAGTCAAAAAGGGTTAGAGAGAGAAAAAAAAAAAGTTCAAAGATTTGTAAGAAAAAAAAAAAAAAGAAGGGAGTCGGACATTTAATTTACAGAACACAAATCAACAGTTTTCTGCAAACCCTTGGACGTTAAATGCAGTATTGGGCTTCTTTCTTATTAAACAATATCTCGCTAGATTTTTCGCATTTTAGATTTTTTTTTTTTTTTACTTGTATTCTCTTTTGCGCTCACGTGGAAAACACGTGTTTGGAGGAACCATCGAAAGATTGTTGGGACGTGTCGACAACGCGATATTTGATTATGGGCCTAGACTCATGGGCCTGAAATTGGACTGCCTATTTATATTTATTTCCTGAATTCATATTCAAGAAACAAAATAAAATTTTCATAATAATTTTTTTTTATAATAGAGTCCTGTTTGTGAGCTATATAAGAGTGGAGTTTCCGTTTCATAAAGAAAATATAAAAAATTTCATAACAAAATCGGATTTAGAACTAAATCTATATATCCGATAATTTTGTTTATTTTATAATTTAGAACTTAAACATATACGTTTGAACATCTGTGACCTTCTTCGACTGCGTCGTGATTAGGAGAATTTATTTTTTCCATATTTTATTTCAATTTTTGGTGCTATTTTATTTTATCACGATACGCCTCGGCTGATATTTTTCATTCGCGTTTTACGGCCACAATTTTAAACCCATCAGAAGGCGACACGTGTATGAACTATTTGTTGGGCTCTAAGACAAAGCCCATAACCCTGTGAACTTGGTTGTGGGCCTTGTGGCAAAGAATCTCTGCGAACCGGTTTTATCCGGTTCGGTTCGATTTTTTTTCCCTATTACACTTTTTTACATAATTAACGTACATTAATCTAGTTAAAATTTATACATATATTTTACAAAATCCAAAATTTAATTCTAAAAAAAATCACTTTGATTAAACTGTGAATTAGAAATTAATTTATAAATATAAAAAAGTGAAATGTTACATATTTATAATTTTATTCCGCCGATTAATAAATCATTTGTATCCCCAAAAATTAAAGTCAAAAGAAAAAGTAACTTTAACTCATAATGTCTGGAAACACCAAGTGAAGAGACAAAAGCCAACAAAGACACAAACACAAGAAGATGGCTTCCTGCAATGTGAAAAGAAGAAGAGAGCTCAGGTTGGAGGTTGCCATGTTCCGGGCTGAAACGAAGCTCCAGACCCAGTTGGTTCTGTCGATCTGCGTTTGCATCATCATCAACAGTATCACAATTTGTCTGGTTTTGATCTTATAACCAAAATCCTAAATTGGTTCCCAAAAGTTTGGATGTGGTTTTGATCTTACAACCAAAATGCTCTAACTGGTTGTATCGAAAATGACCTTCCCCAAAAGTCTGGATGTCTAATGACAAGACAAAAGCCAGAAAGCTACTTACTTTGGTATGTGCCGCTCTGCAATGTCGGGTTCGGGTTTTGGTTTTGGTTCCTTGACACTGTAATAATATCGAAGGCAAGTGAGGCTACTGTGAGCACACCCAAAAAGTCGATGAAACTTATAATACCATAAGAAGATCGATATCGTAAGAGAGAATTGGAGTGGTAAAGGTATGGTGACTCACCGAGATTCGTTTGCTTGTTCATGGGCTTCCTCGAGCTTCTCGCCTAAGCATGGACAGAAAATGGAAACGTCAGTAAAAATTCATGAGGTTAAAGTAGGAAGAATAAGCTCTTTCACAGTTGGAGGAATTTGAACCTTTGGAATCAGCTGGGAATTGTTGAATGAAGCTCTTCAAATCTGGACCTTCAGCTTTACCTATACACAAACAAAGAGAAAATCTTATTGGACTATCACTTCAAATGTGCAAGGAAACAAATGGACAGATTATGTGTGCGTTATTCGTTAATTACTGCTTATGATTTTGCGTCCAGTTCCACTGGCTTCTCGGGCTTTCTTCTCCTCCTCTTCTTTTTTAAGAACTTCATGAGAAATTCAAGGATTCAGAGCGAGGATGAACTTTGAAATTACAAAGATTGACACATGAATCTCATTTGGATCAGTAAAAGTTTTTATTCCAGAAAGCAAGTACTCAAAGTTTTAAACTGATTGCGGCATATATGAAGTGAAGTGACAAAAGAGATGGAGAGACAAAGAAAAGAAAAAGAAAACGAATAATGCAAATTGTATCAATAGACTGGAACACGTACTCGCAACATTAAGCTTCACACGTTCGCGTCTTGCTTCAAGTTCAGCCATCTCCTGGAACAAGAGGCAACATCAATGTCTAACATCACCAGAAAGAAATGCATTCTGCCAATAACAGAGAAACAAACGACAAGCTAATATATTAACTAACACAATTTTTTTTCCTATTGAATCTCATCTGCCTGAAAACATCTCCATGGAAAGAAAACTATTCTAATCAAATATCTCTTTCAGAAAGAGAAAAGCTTTCATCTTACCTCGGGAGTAGGAGCCCTTTTCCGCTGCCCATTCAGCCAACATATCCATTCAACTACAACAAACAATCAACCAATATGGAAAATCATAGGCCAAAGTCCACCACACAACTTGCACATCCCCTTATGTTTAAATTCAACATTACTGCTAGTGCTATTTTTCAGAAAGAAACCACCCTAACTATCTCTTCCAGAAATCACAATTCAATAAGCTTTCATCAAGGATTACCGGGGACAGAGGTCGGATCCTCCTCTCTTTTAAAGATGACCCATCTTTTCTCCTTAACTGGAAAATGAAAGGAAGCCCATCAGAGCATCTTACTACATAAATGAATTCCACAAGAGCATACCTATTAGCTGCGTGCATATGGATATTAAGTGCAATTTCCCCAATGAAAAAAAAGGAAGAGGCTTTTTCTTAACTAGACTGCTAAATTGAATGGATCATGTATATCCAAAGAGCAGTTCATTTCCGAGTCCAAATACATGTTCAATGGAATACCCAGGAAAAAAAAATCCCCCTACCCAATTCGCATGATTTTCTCGATAAGAATATCAGATATTCAAAAACTAAGGAAAGTCAGCAATTTGTAGCAAACCCGCGAATCGAAAAACCTAAATTCGCTACTGAAGTCGAGAATCATTAGAATGCCAGATACAAAAAAAAACACAGATTTGCGATACGAGGAAGAAATAAGATGAGGAAATTACTACTCGCCGATTCCATCAATCTCTTCGGTTCTGGAGAAATACTTGTTCCCCACTCTGTCGACACCGATAAATTTCCTGCTACTGAACAATCCAGAAAACCTAGACCACAGCCTCGACATGGCTCGCCTCCGGATTCCGATCGAGCGCCAAAAACAGTCTGTAGAATTGCACACAGGCTCTTCCAATGAAAACCGTAGCTCGAAGTTAGGATTCGCCGCTCGGGTTATGGAGAAAGACGAGTTCGGGTTTGGATCGTGGAGAAGTTATTTTTTGCTTTTTTACTTTTTCCCCGAACAACAAATCTTGTGAAGCCAACCTTATACTTTAAACAAATAAAAAAAAATAAACGTTTCAAAATTCCTAAAACGAAAAAGATTAATTATTGAAAGTAAATTCATTTAATCTTAAATAAACTTTTTTAATGTCGTTAATTTACCAGGGGAAATCCAGAAATTTTGTGCATGTCGAAAGCAACATTTCCTTTACTTTGGATACTGACAACTTCAATTGTTAAAATTTAAATCTTGAAAAAAAAACGACTTTTTATAAAAATAAAATAAAATATATATTATGTTTCATATGTGATTAAATAAATTATGCGTTTCTCTTCAAAAATCTATTTTTTGTCTCTCTAATTTCCTTTTGCTTCAGATTTTTATACCTGTGTTAAAAAAATATTTCTTGACCAGTACTTCTAAACAAGAATATTGCCGAAGAAATTATATATATATATATATAGTCGGACAAAAAAAAGAAAATAAAAACAAAAACGGTCACGTGATCGTGGAGGAGAATTGCGTGAGGGACCACATGAACGTGAAACTCCCGCCTCCGATCCTTTTCAAAACCCTAAGTCCTCATTTTCCCTCTTATTTCCCCGAACCCCTACCCCCGATTTTCCCGCCCCCCAATCACCCCTCTCCTACAAAACCCTCCTTCCTTCTGCGATCCCCACCACAAATCTCTCGTGATCCCGATCTCGATCGATTTCTGCAACCCTAGAGATAATCTGATCCAATGAAAACCGTTTCCAGATCTCCGGCGAGGAGAAACGACGGTGGCTTCCACCGTTATTTGAAGCCCGGTGCTCTCGCTCAGATCCGCGACTCCAGGATCAATGGGAGATCCAACTCGCTCGTCTCTCGCTCCTCTTTGCAGAGATTGGAGTCGCAATCGCCCTCGTCCTCGCCGCAGATCTTGACGCTGGATCATGTGCCGGATCTCCTGAGCAAGATCTACGGCCCAAGTAGCCTCCGGAGGAAGAAGCTCGTCGCTGCTAGATCCGTGTCGTTGATGAATATGAACGCTTCTCAGAGTTCTATACTTGAATCCGCCGGCGGTAACAGCAGTGTATTAAATAATGATGTGTTAGTTGCTCACTGAATTAAAGGTAGTTGATATTGGATACCTTTTTTTGTTCTTGTTGTAGATTCTTCCCTTCTATGTTAAATGATCCGATTCGGGAAGAGCTGTCAATTTTTCTTGAACCATAAAAATCCAAACCTTACGTAAACCATCATGGTTTAGTGTACCTCAAATGAATCTCATTTCCAGTTTGATCTCAATGTATCTTTCATCCATTTGATGTGAAAGTTCAATGTAAGCTATCATCTCTCTTCTCTCGTATCTAACTGCTGTTATTGGAATTATGTTCAATGGTTCTGATTGACCAATACATCAATTAGAACTTTGAGATATGAAATGATTTGCCCATGGCGAAAATGTGGCTCTTGATCTGCAGTATGATCTTTTGAACTGTGTCCCTCTGCTTTCTAGTTCATTGATGTCCCTTTTACATTACGTTATCATTCATTCATGCATATCCTCCACATTTAGCGCATCTGGGTCTCTTTCTTGTGAGATAAAGTTTCAACCTTTGAGGGGCATGGCCCATTTTTTTTTTTAGATTCCGTTTTCTTGGGTAAGTTCATGAAACGAGACTTAATTTAATGAAGGAGGTGAACCTTTGAAGGAAAGAAGGTAAATCTTGAGACGAAATCTACTGTGTTTGTCTGAAAAATGCAACCGTTCGTTGTTACCACATAAACACAGAGGACTCGTTTTCGGGAGTCGGGAGTAATAATAATGGTCTGGACGTTGGTGCCTATGTCTTTGGAGACGATCCATAGAGACAAAATCTATTCATGTCTTGTTCTTGACGTCCCTTTTGCCTTCTTTCTCCTCTTCTCTTCCTCATTTTTTGCCTCTGCGAATTCCTCCTCTTCAGAATCTTTTTGCCTTCACCTTCCTGAGTAATTTTCTTTTAATCTGTATATATATATTTATACAGGTAAATCATCAAACTCGATAAATTCTGACAAGTTTCTGCCCAATTTTCATGCCTTATCTGTGTTCTGTTTCAACAGTGTTCCTCTTTTTGTTGCTGCAGATTCCGTTTTAGAATCTGGAGAAAGCTGCGTCTGTCTCTTCAGAAAATCCTCAGGACCAGGTAGATTCTCATGTCTCTATGCCATCAATCTGACAATCTTATTGATTTTTTGGGTTCTTTCTTCAGAATATTCTTCTCTTGAACAATGGAGGACAAGAACGAATATGGTTTATGGATGCCCGTGAAAGAAGAAGAATTCCAGGAACAAGACGTGTGGGATGTTCTTGATGGGTATGAAGATGATCAATCTGCCACAGGAATCAACCAGACCTCGAATCCCTCTTTTCCAGCCCAAAGGTTCCAACTCAGTAACCCAAGGGTGATCCCAAGAACAACCACAAGCGGTTTCGGAACAAACAGCACTCAGCTCCTGTCAGTGTTCCTGACTGGTCAAGAATACACACAATCAAGCCAAAGAAAGCTGCTAAGACTCATGATGATGATGATGGTGATGACGGTGATGATTATGATGATGGTGGTGGTGGTGGGGGCAGCGAGAGTGTGTTACCAGAGGAGTATTTCATGGGCAGGATACGATCGTCACCCTCGTTATCGGTCATGGAAGGAGCTGGAAGGACACTGAAGGGGAAAGATCTAAGCAAAGTGAGGAATGCAGTGCTGAAGAAAACCGGCTTTCTTGAGTAAGAGGAACAAGCCTCTCTGGTGGAAGAACATGATGTGATGTATGTGTTTTTTATTTTTACATGTATATGATCAAGTGTTCTAATCTATTCTCTATAATTAGAAAGTCCTTACAGATTTTATGTTTCGGCTTAGTGTTTGCAGAAATCATGTGTGGTAATGGGAATCGGCATAAATACAAGAAAATTTGTCACTTATGAACAGCAGAGGAAACGTATCCCTCCATATTTTAACAGTAATTAACAACAAAGTTTCACGTATGTAAATCCGGTTGTTTTATAATACAAACAATGATCAAGATCTTGATCATTAGTTGTCGATCTTTCTGGAAATTTCGATCTTTTTTCAATTCTCTAGCAGATTCCGGGCAAGTTGTCCCACGAGCAGGAATTAGTGTTATTGTCATGATCATCATTTTCAGCCGCTGAGGCGTCGGCCGGGAAGAAGGAAATGAAGTGATGAAGGTCGAGGACGAGATTATCGTCAGTGACGACTGAAGAATGCCCATTCGAGATCTCTCCGCTGTCGCTTCCCCAGTCGAGAAACTTGGCTATGTCTTCTTGCATGGCGGCGTTCATCTGTTGAGATTCACCTTCCCTTTGTTTTAAAACTTTTTACACAAACACCATGGGAGATCAGATTCATTTCAGGTTATTGCAAAAGTGTAGAGTTAAAAAGCTTATTACAAAACATTTTTTTGATAGCTCACCTTGTCCGAAACTGTCCAAGACATTGTTGTCGTCGTCGACTTGTCTCCTCTTAGGCGCCCGGCCGCCACAGGCCAAAGCCTCGGCTTCATCGAGGACACTCTCTAACAGCTCGCAGCTACTTCTTCTATGCAAACCGGTGTCAAGATTCTGATGATGTTTCTCATTGTCTGACAAGCTGGTAACATCAAAGACTGCTGAGTGGGACATTTGGTTTGAAGGGAGCTCCGGTTTCAAGGAGTAAACAGGTTCATTGAACTGAAATAACGAAGGAGTGAAGTGGGTATGAAGCATTTGAGTAGGGGAAGAGGAAGGGCTTAAAGAGAAAGAATGAAGAGGAGAAGCAGAAGGAGGAGGAGGAGAGGAAGAAGTATAAGGTAGAGTTAGAAATGTAGGGTAAGAGCTCTTCTTGGCATGGAAAGAAGGCGGATGGAGTAGAGGAGGTCCGGGGAAGGAGAAGGAGACGATGGTGTTGTCATGGTGGAGAGTGGGGGATCTCGGGGGGACGAAGAGTGGAAGAGTAGGGGAAGAGAGTGGCGAGGAGAGGGACGGGGGAGGAGTAGAGAATGGATTACAATAGGTGGATGTGGTGGGGAAAGTGAAGGACGAGGAGGAAGAAGGGGAATGGAGAGGAGAGGAGGGCTGAGACAGAGGTCGGAGATACATCTGATGATGGTTTGGAAGGATCTCGGGAGGGTAGAGAGGGAGACCTTGTCGTTGGAGACGTTTCAGCCTCGTGTTCCAGTAGTTCTTGATCTCGTTATCTGTTCTTCCCGGTAACTATGTTGTTCAGCCACAACATGTCATTGAATAGACAAAGACAAGGCAGTTTAGTATACAGAGTTTCACTGTCTTGCTGCAATATATATATGTGTGTGCAAGTGTTTGTATACATGTATATGGTGTGCGCCCTTGTATGGAAACCTAGAAAACAGATCAAAGGTTTGGTGATGATGATGATGATGATGATGACAATCTATCACCATAATTTGGAGTCATAGAAGTTGGACAGAGGAGGAGGAGACAACATATTATAAGCAAGAAAAAAAACACAGACCAAGGATGACAGCGGGTAAAATGAAGAGAAACCTTAAAAACCAGACACTGCAACTGCAAATATAGACATCCAAACACGATCACAAAGACATATATGAACAGAGAAAAGATTCAAAAGCCAGATGACATGACAAGAAACAGACGAACCTGCAGAAACTATATGTACACAGACAATCACATAGAGATTATGGGTAGAAGAAGAGGAAGAAGAAGAAGAAGGGTACCTGAGCGGCCATGCGAGCCCATTTGTTGCCGAGCTGGGCATGAAGCTGGATGATTAAGCGCTCTTCCTCGGCGGAGAAGGCACCTTTCTTGAGATTCGGCCGGAGATGATTCGCCCACCTGAGCCGACAGCTCTTGCCGCAACGGGCAAGACCCGTGTTCTTCTGCACTGCGTTCCAGTTCCCTTCTCCCTGTTCCCTCACGTACGCCGCCAATGTCTCGTCCTCCGCCGCCGTCCACGGCCCCTTCTTCAAAACCACCGCTGACCCTCCTCCGCCGCCGCCGTCCTTTGATGTTCCACCGCCGTACAGCATCATCGGCTCTTCTGTTCCTCTGATTCTGCTGTCAGAAGAATGAAACAGGATATTTCTGTGGATTTTACTCTGGTTTGGTTTTTTTGTTCATGTCCAAGATGTGGGCCCCGGGTAGGGAGGGGGTTTAAGCTAGCAGAGCTACCTGAAATGCAGGGTCCACGGTAAGAATCTTCTCTCTATTTTTTGTCTTTTTACCTCTGGCAAATGGCTGCAGAGAGGTAAAAAAAGAGGAGAACTGTGGTAAAAGAGGCAGTTGGGGGGTAATTTGGGGATGTAAAAAAAAACAAAGTGTTCAAATGTGAAGATGGATAAAAAGGGAAAGAGAGACCCGATGGTGGGTTTGAATAAAATTTGGGGCCGGACCAAACAGATTAATCTAACTGAGCCGGAGAGTACGAAGATTCTAGGATCTTCAGGAATGACAAGTCGCCGAATTCTTGCGGGATCTCGCCGAGGATGTTTCCGGAGAGGATGGTGGGAGGAATCCGAGTAACAATGACAGAGATGAGATGGAACGCACTGACGAGGTAACAACACATGTGTGATGATTTCGATCTCGGTTGATATCCGGAGAAAAGAAAATCATTTCCCTGATGAAAAGCTTAAATCTTTTGGTTTATCCGTGGAACATCGAAAAGTTCTATGATTCCCGTTACATGTAATAGATTCTTATTCTCTCTATCTCGTGGCCAGTTGAGTTCTTGTCCTTTCATGACCGTTCTCCATAGATATCTGCTAGGAAAGGTGTATAGTGTTCTCAAAAGATGAGTTTTTTTTGTGCTTTTTCTGGTGCTTTCGTTTGGTAATGATTATGAATGTATGATTGAGCTGTTTTATGAGTACATGCATAACTTCTCCAACGTCTATTTTAAGACCATACCATACACACATATACATACATACACATATATACACACACACACTCTACTCTTTAACGTATTTGCTTATTAAAAAACCATGGGGTATATATATATATATATCAAAGCAATATGACGCAACACTGATGATGCCCTCCCACTCAAAACATTCTTCTTTTGGGTTCTTTTATGTACGATGATGAAGCATATATTAAACGGAAATATGCACATATACATACACATGTATGTATATGTGCGGGCATAATTGCAGGTGACACATGTTCATGCATCTATATTGGGAAATTCAAGCTATACTAGTGTTAATAAGGCGTTTGCTTGAATTTTACTCGAGAAACCCTATATATACGGATGAATCTGGCCCACGTTTCTGTCCAGAATCTGAACCCCAAACGAATATGAAATTAACCTCATCCCACAGCTCGAAAACCCTAACAACGGCTTCACTAAAACGGTCAATTTCCGGTCCTCTGGGAGATGTAGTCGGGCCAAAGGCCCGGTGAACTTCCGGATTATAAAAAAAATAAAAAATAAACGGGCAACTTGTGTACATATTGATCCAATCCAACTAACCCGCAGGTAGACGACTTTTTCTTCATTTTATTTTCAGTTTCATAACTTCTCTCTCTCTCTTGTTCAATTTTCGTTCTCCTGATCCTTGCTATCACACGAAAGGAAGTATATGCTACACAAGTTCATCGTACTCTTCTCTGATATCATCTTGCATTCACCATGAGCCGTGCAAATGTTTGGACGAGAAAACCGTTACTAACGGAGCAAGTAAGCCCAGATCCTTCTGTGGGCGTGGAGTTGAGGGCGAACATAGTCGAAATCTTGAATCTTGAATCCTTCACTTCTTCTAGATGGAACTCGACCCGAGGATGAACAGACTTGTTCTGCATATTTTTTTTTATGGACTTTTCGCCTAAACTTCTCATCGACAACGCCTGATCACCGATCGAGGCCTTGTGGTTGGCCCTGTCTAATGAGCCGTGAACATGTTACCGCTCGACCCATTTGGTCAAAAGTATCAATCTTTCTGCTGTTCAAACCGGTTGAGCCTTTGTTCACTAGACACAAACCCTCCACCACGACCAATCCTGTCAGTGGCCGGGAGGGGGGCTTATACTGTTCAGACTGCGTGAGAAGACACGATCCTCACAATGCCAACTGTCTTATATAAACCCAACAGCTTGTGGACGAGTGGTCAGCAGATGGATGCAAAGCACTCAGAGGTTGGCAGTTTGATTCCTGGTTGGGGAGGGGTTTTCACATGGGCTGCCCCGCTCCTCTGGAAGATGTAGTTGGACAAAAAGTCGGGTGAATTTCCGGATTATCAAAAAAAAAAAAAAACTGTCCTATATAACAACCACTTGTCTACAATTTATCCAAACTCTGCTCCTCTGGAACTCAAACCGGATCGATTTGTTCCCAGAATACCAATGTCAAAGTAATATCATACCAGATGATGAACATCCGTACAGTCCCCTTGTAAACTTTCTTAAATCAAACACTCCGCACATATTTAGCGCATATAAACTCACCGAATACACACACAACGATTCGATTTCTTCGTGACAGACCCAATAGGATTACAACAGTTTTTTACTCTTCATTAATACACAAGTTCTACGTATATAGACACACTCGTAACTGCTATATTGCAGTTCCATTTTAAAACCAACACACAACTGTTAAATATACCACACGATCGCTTTCCATGCTTGAGCTTGGACCCAACACCCCTCCGTATAGTTATGATTTTCATCGTGTCCACCGGTTTGAGTTGAAACAGACCCATTTCGGAAAGCTCCTCCAGTAGCAAGATCCGCACCAGAGCCCAAATGAAATGAATGGCAATAGACCAACTCATAACAGGACAAGAACCGATGTTTCCTGTCTCTTTCCTGACAAAAAAAAAAAGCCGACAAACCTCGGAAATTGACCTCAATCTATTCCCCGTGAATCAAGGGAATCAGAAACGTACTGAATGAATGGCAGGAGAAAAACAAGGTAAAGGACTCAATCTTTACAACGCGGATAATAGACTTTTTTTTTTAGAAACGGATATTCAATACTAATTTTGTTATAAACAATTATATATCTATAATATCTGTATGATATTCTTATAAAATGTAATTGTTTCAAGTTAAAAAAACTTTCTCATTTTTTAACATTATTTCAAGAAAACTAAACTTATTTTCATTTATCTTTCATCATTCTTCTTGTCACATACTTTGACCTCAATTCATTCATCCCTCTCTATCATTGTCTATTCAATTTTTTCTCGCATAAATATTATTACTTTTTATTAAATAAATCTGAATCAAGAGATCCATGAAAATCCGAACATCGTTCCGAATATTCGAATCCCAAATACACTTGACACTTGAATTTGAATACAAATCTTACAACGAGATATATACACGAGTTTTTTTGGATGAAAATCTAAACACAATTTTCTCATACATCTCCACCCCAAATAGTGTTTCCCATTATCGGTAGATGTTTTGGTATTCGATTCGGGTTCAGACCGGAAATAGTTCGGTTCAAATTATGATCGATTCCGGTTTTTATTAAAAAATATATTAGACTTGATTCGATTTTAAAAATTCTTTTTTATAATTTTAATAACGTTGGAAGAATTTTAGAGGGTTCAAAATCGAGAAAAATACCTATTTTGTTAGTTCCATACGGTTCAATTTCGAAACGTTCACCGTACAGCCGTTGTCCATCCGCGTTATCTAACTTTTTGTTGACGTTGTGGTGGTGTTTTCCTCCACCGGGACATTTTCCCAACATTGTCGTGTCTCTCACGCGCTGAGGCGAAGTTAAATTTCCAGATTTTATATTAATACGCTGTTTTTGTTCTTGGACATCCCATTCACGAATTTGTATTCGAAACATTCTAGCTAATGTTTCGGCGTTCAGTTATCATCGGTCGATTTATGGACATTAATACATGAAAATCTATGCCTGTAAATGAAATATATATATATATATATATGTGTGTGTGTGTGTGTAACCGTGGACCAATCCTCTTTTTTTCCGGCCTTGTATGTATAATTTCTCGTTGCAGCCACAATTATTTTCCATTTACATTCGTGACAACGATCTCTCTCTCCCAAGTGTGTGTACACATTAACATCCGTTCCCACGCTTCAATAATAATAATAATAATAATAATAATAATAATAATAATATCCCATAAATATCGGAAAACGATTGCTTTGGCTTCAAAAGAGTTTAGTCAGCCAAATTCTATGACGAGCTTAAGCGTGCTTAATTAAATGAACACTTAATTAATTCCTAGGAACAAATGTCTCATAAAATTAATTAATAAAAAAACAAATATAATTTTGTTTTCCGAAGAAAATTTGAATTATTGATGAAGGCATATATGGATCATGTCGCGTTTTGACTTCCAACCCACGGAAATGTATTGACGATATGACTAGTAACAGAACGTACGTGACCACCACCACCATACCCTCCAGTTCATCATTTTCTGTAATACAGACAGAAATTATTCAACCCAACAAAAAAAAATATGGTCCGTCCAATATATTTGAATTTTGATTTATGTACACACACGAGTCTTATATGTAGTCCAATGTGAATGCAGTCAATTGTGATAGTTCTCTCTGAAATGTCTGGTGGGGCATTGATGTCACTGTTTGTTACTATATCTGCCATTTTTTCCCACCCATTATAGTTGTAACCATCACAATCAATATAGGCATAATAGTTTTTCCACCTTTTAATAATAATAATAATAATAAATGGATTTTATAGTTTTTCCCTTTTTATTTATGACTTTAGTGTTTTTAAAGTCGATATTTTATGTCACTTATGACAACATTCAATCAACTTTTATATATATATGATATATGGGTTGGCTGCATCTCCAGATATGTTGCAGGGTGCTCCTCCTCCATGCCCACCGATTTGTTACCGAATTTCATAGCTTAAGTTTTATAAACGCCCTAAATAATGTTATGTAATTATATTATATGCATATTTTGATATTTCGATGGCATGTATAATAATGAGCCAGCTGAAAAAGCATGTGAAACCTGTGTTTTGTTGGATATTTAAATGTACAAAAAACATAGTTATTAAAACATATTATAAAATTTTGAAAAAAATAAAATATTAAATGCATAATAAAATATATTTTCGTCCATACTCTTTATCAATTAACCTGGAGTTTT